TTTAATCTAACAGTACTGAATAATGTTTAAAAAAAGAAACTAACAATTTCCTGTTCTTTACGGTCAATTGTTACAGAACAGAACAGAACAGAACAGAACACAAGGTAATTCTTGAAAGGAAAGAAGTATAGTTAGAAATTAACCAAAACTTAGATCCAAAACAGGGAGAAGTAACCAAAGCTTTTTTTTTTTTACCTTTGGATCAGAGAAGTGTTTTATCTTCTTAATTGGTTCACGAATTCAGCATCAGACACGGCGGAGAGCTCAATTTGGCTGTAATCATCGTCCTCAATTGGAGCAGGAAGGTTGAGATCTATGAACCCTTTTTCTCCAAACGTTGTGGAAGTAGTACTACTTTTAGCAGGAGCTGCTACTAGACCAGTTATGTGAGATCTTTTATGTCCACCCAGCGCTTGCCCAGATGAGAAAACTCTGAAACAGACAGGACATTCATGGATTTTCTTATCTGCCATTGAAGAAGTATCTACATTTTCTGATCCCAGCTCGGGGTCATGTGCTGGCAAGGAATTAACTTTTATCTTCTTGTGGCTTGCTCTGTGCCCACCTAGTGCTTGATATGATTTGAACACTCTGTTGCATGTTTCACATTTGTATTTGCCTCGAGTATGATTCTTGTATATTTTGGCATCATGTGACTCATCTGTTTCCTCTTCTTGTTCCTCTTCTGTCTTTTCTTCTGGATGTTCCTGTTGTTGTTCCTTTTTCTTCCATTTATCTCTAGAAAGCATCATGAGACAGAAAGCGACATCTTCCTCGTTGGTAGTATCAGAGATTGAACTTACCGGCTCCGGCTCCGCCCATGACTCGGTCTTACTGAGTTGGTTAAATTTGAACTCTTTTGTGTTGTCCTGTTCTTGGCTCTGTTGCTGGTGGTGATGATATCCATGCTCTAGTTTCCGAGTCCGCTTAGATCGCCTCCGAGTTGGGTTCTTGGATGACTCAGTCTCACTTTCTCTATCCTGGAGAACAACTGACCCAGTATCAACAGCAAAAGAGAACTCAGGATCTACCAATCGAAAACTTCTTTTTGGGTTCTCTCTTAACCCATAAAACTGCTCCTTATCCTCTTCTTCCTCCGACGAAGACGACGACGGTGCTGACTCAGTCTCTTCACTGAGTTGAACCGGTGATTCTTCTGGTAACTTTGGAGGAACTGGAAGATTCAACATGTGAGACCTCATGTGCCCTCCTAAAGCTCTTCCATTTGCAAAACTTTTCAGGCACAATTTACACTTGTGTCTCTCCATTGCCCCAAACAGACTGAAAAGAAGAGAACAAAAATGTAAATGCTTTTTCTCCCAAGGAAGTTCTGAAGAAAGTGTAGAGGGGAGTGGAAGAAACTAAACAAAAAAATTGGAGCCTGTCACAACTGACGAGCCTTCCTCCACCAAGGAGATATATACAAAGCCACAAAAGAAAATTACATATAAGAAAAAAAACTTGTTTTTTGAAGAGATTTACTATTTTTGTTTAAAACGGCAAAAACAATAAATAAACAATTTAATTAAAGCGGATGCATGAAGAAGGGGAAGAAAGGACATGTAACATGCGAGGCTTGCCGGTTTCTGTATTTATTGGCTTTTCACATCCACTTTTTTGGCTTTCCCAAATTTGCCACTTCTAATTAGAATTTTCAAAAAATAGAAAAATTGTTACAAACTAATAATTGAATTATTAGTAGTAGTTGATAAACAACAAGCAAATTAAATAGCAAGATCAGTATAGAATGTGGCTTAGAGTTGGTGTAAACTAGATATTACTTGTGGATCAGTGGGAGTAAGAATGATTGTGGCCTTTTTCTTTTTCATATTAGTGCCATAATCCAAGCATATGTTGCAAACTCTAACCTGGGTGAAAGAATGTTAATATATTAATTGATATGTTTACTTAAAAGTGTTGTTAGTTAGCAAAATTATATGTATATGTGAGTTATTTGATAATAAAAAGTTTTTTTTTTCCTTAAAAATACAAAAGAGGGTAGTAGTTAAAAAATGCATTCTCAGACTTGCTTTTTAGAAAATAATTTTATATTAACTTTTAGGAGGGTATTTTGGGGATTATAGGAGGTAACCAATTTAAACCGGTGGCTTCGACAAGTCAAAAAAACTGCTGGGTCTGTTTGTGACGACGGAGCAGAATATAAAACCCTTCACACGACACTGTTAATGTCCAATTGGCTGTTACAATAAATAAACGACAGAATCCAGCAACCAATAACATCCGTACACGTTACCTTAATATAATATAGTTATAAAATCATATAAAAATATAAATTTAT